CCCCCACACACACACACACACACACACCATAACCATATATAATGTATACCCTTGCTGGGCACCAGGCATGGGGCAATTACATTGGCAATGTAATTCATTAAATAACACATTACATTGAAAAAGTAGCATTACCATTACCATTACATGGCTTTCTTAATGTAATTAATTACCATTACAATTACATTGCCAATGTAATTAATTACCATTACAATTACATTGCCAATGTAATTAATTACCATTACACATTACTTTTGTTTAATATTCTGGGTATATTTTTTTAATCCAAGCCAATAAAAAGACAAGTTTAAATGACATATTTACCTTTATTTGTTATTAACCTGTTGTTTGTGTTTCATATAGGGAATTTACATCACTACATATATAAAAAAAAATGTATGTATACACTCAATTCTGGGAAGATGTTCTGCTCAGACAGCTTACACAGTGTAACACTTCATATCTAAACATGCATATTGCATTTGAACATCATCAGATGTTCAAAAGTTTCGTCATTTAGACCGCATCTGTCTGGCTGGAATATCTTCCCGGCTATACTTAATTAATAGTCTCTCGACTGAAGCTGAAGATGATGGGATAGTCAAATACTTGATAGCGAGTTTTGACAGAACAAGGTAATGGACAAAATTTGTTTGCCAAAATGACAAAGGGTCATCCTCCATGTCAATACAAGGGTTTTTGAGATATTTCTCTACTTCCTTTGGTGCCAACCCAGATTGGTGTCTTTTCCTTGGGGTTGCTGGCAGAAAACAGAAGAAATCCATCTTGCCCTTTTTAGGTGGTGGTAGTGAACATTCATCGTCACCGTCATGTTCAGTCTCTGTGTTCCTTTCAACAAGTGTATTCAGGAGAGAAATATGAGTTTGAATCACTTCAGGACCACACCTGTACCACCTCAGTTTAAATCTTGGGTCCAAAATTGCAGCCAAGATGTACTCCTCATCTTGCTCATACTGGTCTAGTCTGGGTTTGATTGAATCTTTTAGTATGAGGTCACTTTCAAACTTCCAGAGATGGTGAGCACAACAGACGAACATAATCATGATATAATAATTGACCTTGGGGTCTGGCCTCACCCCTGGGACCTTAATTCCTGAGGCATAACTTTTAAAAGAGATCCCAAACTAATAACCATATTTATCATTTATATACTACTTTATACCACCTACCGGTAGCTTGATAAATTCATTATCATTGGTTGTCAGTATGAGAAGAAGTTGAGAACAACTTGAGAACAGATTTTCCCATTTCCCAGCACTTGGGAACATATTTTCTCAAAAAAGAACGTCTGCACACACCAGATGACATAGTTTTAAGGTTCATTGTATTCCTCCGCACTAAACTTCTATTTGTTTAGGTTTGTCACAGGCGATCGTTAACCATTAGAAGTCATTTGGGAAACATGGTGTTTAGTTGAGTATTTTTAATGGAAAAATATAAAAGGTACTAGTATATAGATGATAAATAGTTTATCATACAGTATTTTCAGTGCTTGTCGTTCGAACAATTTTCTCATCGCTCGCACGTAGATAAAATTTAGAGGCCACCACAATAAATACAATTGCTGGGCATCAAGAGACAAACACAACCATGATATTATAATTGACCCTGAAGTCTAGTCCAATTCCTGGGGACTTAATTTTTGGGCCATAACTTCGAAACAGTTGATAACTTCACCCCATAGTAAAAGTAGTATACAGCATTTGATATAGCGCCCTATCTAGCTAACATAAGCCACTCTAAAGTACAGTAAATAGTTATACAATTAAATATAGCATATACATTAATCAATACAATTTTGAGGAATTCGCAGGATCTGCCTTATCAGACACTTATAACTAATAGTCCTATGTCACCTGGCTAATATCTCCCTATGTATGCGTGTGTGCTGGAGATGTAATGCGTTCTGACTGTAGTGGGACCATGCTTTCAACGACATTATTTATAGAGCCACATCAACGTCAACCCCAGACCAATTTATACTCCACCCGGGTTGTTGGAGTTGTGTGGGCAGGAGAAAAACACTTTCTTTAAATATCCATGAGTACGACAACATAACCATACATTTGTATATACATTTGATTAGTATAAAAAGACAAACACTGAATTACTTTGCCATGCTGATGCTATACAGTAAGTAACATTAACTGTGTACTTGTATTAATTTGAAGCTGTGTTAATTTCAGATTTAACAACGACACATGGTTTATTATTTAACCTCTGGGTAGGGCTTACTGATAAGAAAGAGGAGGGCACTTTCCAGTGGCTTGATGGCAGCTACTTCAACTCAACGTACAGGTGAATGTAAAGTAAATGTAAACAAGGTTACCGCGAGCGGTATATAATACGCCCGTCACACATTGAATGAGCAGTTGTTTGTATGATTGAAATATATGAAGTATTTGTGAGTAATTGATATTAAAAGAGAAATCATTCAACATAACTGGTAGATCAATGAGTGCAATACAACATCATGGAACGCATGCATCGCATTAATGAAACCAAGGGTAATAACTCCAGTAATTA